GACTTCTCCTAAGCAACCTTTGTGAAGGCTCCGTCTTGTGTGTTTATTTTGACTCATGTATATGTACATATTTGTAGCTGATCGGGGATATCAATAAATAAGCTTTCCTTCATTTCAACGTATTGTGTTAAATACACCAAAGCCTTCTTCGCTAAGTTCTTTGAATTTTCTTTTGTTGAAGCTTGTATGTTGAAGCTTTCTGAGTGGAGCATGTAGGTTGGGGTAGTGTTCCCTTAATTTCCCGAGTGAGGAAAACTTCTCGGTTGGAGACTTGGAAAATCCAAGTCACTGAGTGGGATTGGCTATATGAATCTTAGAACGCCATTGTGCTCGATCCTGTGTCATGTCCTTCGTTAGATCCAAGTACTCTAAGTCTTTTCTTAGAGTCTCTTCCAAAGTTTTCCTAGGTCTTCCTCTACCCCTTCGGCCCTGAACCTCTGTCCCATAGTCGCATCTTCTAATCGGAGCGTCAGTAGGCCTTCTTTGCACATGTCCAAACCACCGTAACCGATTTTCTCTCATCTTTCCTTCAATTTCGGCTACTCCTACTTTACCCCGGATATCCTCATTCCTAATCTTATCCTTTCTCGTGTGCCCACACATCCAACGAAGCATCCTCATCTCCGCTACACCCATTTTGTGTACGTGTTGATGTTTCACCGCCCAACATTCTGTGCCATACAGCATCGCCGGCCTTATTGCCGTCCTATAAAATTTTCCCTCGAGCTTCAATGGCATACGGCGGTCACACAACACGCCGGATGCACTCTTCCACTTCATCCATCCAGCTTGTATTCTATGGTTGAGATCTCCATCTAATTCTCCGTTCTTTTGCAAGATAGATCCTAGATAACGAAAACGGTCGCTTTTTGGTATTTCTTGATCTCCGATCCTCACCCCTAACTCGTTTTGGCCTCCATTTGCACTGAACTTGCACTCCATATATTCTGTCTTTGATCGGCTTAGGCGAAGACCTTTAGATTCCAACACTTCTCTCCAAAGGTTAAGCTTTGCATTTACCCCTTCCTGAGTTTCATCTATCAACACTATATCGTCTGCGAAAAGCATACACCAAGGAATATCATCTTGAATATGTCCTGTTAACTCATCCATTACCAACGCAAAAAGGTAAGGACTTAAGGATGAGCCTTGATGTAATCCTACAGTTATGGGAAAGCTTTCGGTTTGTCCTTCATGAGTTCTTACGGCAGTCTTTGCTCCTTCATACATATCCTTTATAGCTTGGATATATGCTACTCGTACTCCTTTCTTCTCTAAAATCCTCCAAAGAATGTCTCTTGGGACCCTATCATACGCTTTTCCAAATCTATAAAGACCATGTGTAAATCCTTTTTCCCATCTCTATATCTTTCCATCAATCTTCGTAAGAGATAGATTGCCTCCATGGTTGAGCGCCCTGGCATGAACCCGAATTGGTTGTCCGAAACCCGTGTCTCTTTCCTCAATCTATGCTCAATGACTCTCTCCCAGAGCTTCATTGTATGACTCATTAGCTTAATACCCCTATAGTTCATGCAATTTTTTACATCGCCCTTATTCTTGTAGATAGGTACATACATTGGTCCTTGATTCTAGTAATGCTTGTTATGCAACCGTGAATATTTGCTCTTATGGCTGAATCATTGAATATCATAGATGATTGGCTTTTGCACATGATCATCTGATTTTTGCATCACAGATATTCCTCTAGGACCATAGTGTCAGCAACATTAAACTTATATCCTTGGAGTTCGGAGTCATGAACTTAACTGTGCAATTCATACCTTCTTGCCCATTTAAACACTTGTTGCATTCAGGGGTTATTTTGTTAAAACTTTTGGTAGTAGATTTTCTCCTTTAAAATCATGATAATACTTCTCATTTAAATTTTGATTCCTCCAAAAACTGCTTTTGAGTACTATTAGTGGCACACTTGTTGTAGAGTGGAACAATACTCAACCTTACCAATTGTATATTGGTCTCAAGTTGTCCATTCCCTTCTTCACCTGCAGAAATGATTTGTCATGATTTGTCAGACTATTTATGATTTCCTGCTTGTGAATTAATTAGATTTGGAGTCAAAGATGTCCTAATTTTTAAAGCCATTATTTGGCAGGCAAAAGAGGCTGGAAGCACACGGTTTTGCATGGGTGCTGCCTGGAGGGATACAATAGGAAGAAAGACAAACTTTAACCAGATCCTTGAATATGTAAAAGACATAAGGTAATAAAACATTTTATATTGCGTTCAGTATAGAAAGACGGATTTCATTACATTTTATAGGGTCCAATTTTTCTTTCTCTGCATTATTGTCATCTTGCTTTGCACCATATTTTGGTTTTGTACAACGGTTGACTTATGTTGATACACATTCCAGGGGTATGGGAATGGAGGTCTGCTGCACCTTAGGCATGATAGAAAAGCAACAAGCTTTGAAACTCAAAGAAGCAGGCCTGACAGCTTATAATCACAATCTTGACACCTCTAGGGAATATTACCCGAATATCATTACCACAAGGACCTATGATGAGCGCTTGGAAACCATTAAGCATGTCCGGGATGCAGGAATTAATGTGTGTTCAGGTAAAATCTGTTTTTTACCGTTGAATACAATTGCATGCATCAATTCTAGAAGTCAATAGTTGTTGAGCCTAATTCATGTGATAGATTCTTTCTTCTTCTCCAAACCTAATAGTGTAAAACACATCTGTTAAAAGTAAACAGGGGAAGAAATTCTGACTTGTTTTTGGCTTTTTGGGTCCATAATTAAAATGGAAAGGATTGGTCTCCTATCTATGGTTACATACTTGCATACTAAGCTCTCAGCGGTGTTGTTTTAATTTGTTGGCTTTTGTTGTTAGAACATTTGTACCAAAGGCATATGTTCAAACATATTTGTTTGTCCTCCTTTATGCATGGTTTTTACTGAACTTGCAAGTTACTCACATATTTCACGAATTAAAGCCACGCTAGTTTTCAGAATATGTATGAAATGGAATTTCAAAAGCTTTGAGTTTTCATTCTTGTAAATATTTTTGCTAAAGAGCTTTCCAGTTCAGCTTGTATTAACCAGTTAACTTCCACAGCAGCCTGATTTCTAAGTACTTATATAAGTTCGCTCAGAATTTTACTGAGCTGAAGAAATTAAACATCCCTAAAATGTTTACTTTTGACTTTGAAAGGTAGCTATGCTGGTTTTATTTATAATCTCCTAATGATGCAATGGTCTTTTAGATATACAATCTCCTAATTATGCAAAGGGGTTTTGTCCAGATATATTGCCCTTTTCTATCCTATCAGTATCTCCCATTTTATAGCACCTTTTGAATTTTTTTGACAATTTTAATCATAAACTTTTTAGAATATAATTTCCTATGAGTTGGAATCATATGGTAATTACCATCAGTTTGTCGCGCCAATTTTAAACATTTTAGTGCTCGTCGTCAACATTTTCAAATATGTTGAGGAAACTAAGAATGGATATTACGTGGACGGTACGGTTTAGCTTGTTTATTTTATTATGAAATAGGAGGAATAATAGGACTTGGAGAAGCAGAGGAGGATCGAGTTGGTTTGCTGCATACATTAGCAACACTCCCAACTCACCCAGAAAGCGTCCCCATCAATGCACTGGTTTCAGTGAAAGGAACACCTCTTCAAGATCAAAAGGTTAGTCTGCATTGTTTAACTCTAAACTTGGAAGTACAGGTTGTAGCAATAACTGTTGATATCCTTTGATGGTTCGAATTTCTTTGTAATCATAGCGACTAGAGCCATCAATCATCATGCCAGTTGCATTTGCTAAATTCTATTGATGTTCCAAGACTCAAGTAGCTTAACATAATTGATGTTGCTGTCTTTGTTCAGCCAGTTGAAATCTGGGAGATGATACGGATGATTGCCACAGCACGTATAGTCATGCCAAATGCAATGGTCAGATTGTCAGCTGGCAGAGTTAAGTTCTCTATGCCCGAGCAGGCATTGTGTTTTCTTGCCGGGGCAAATTCAATATTCACTGGGGAGAAGCTATTGACTACACCGAACAACGATTTTGATGCTGATCAACTCATGTTCAAGATGCTTGGTTTGATTCCAAAAGCTCCTAGTTTCTCTGATGAACCAGCAAACGCAGCGTGTGAGGCAGCGGCTTGTGAGGAAGCTGTTTCCAGTTCAGGCTGAAAATGCCTAATACAAGGAAAGTGTTGGTCTGTAATTTCTTACATTTTTCATCTTAGTTTTTAGCTGAAAGAAGTGTACTCAAAACGAATTCACTTTGCAAATAAAAGCGAAACTTGGGCGCTTTTTGTTTTTTTTTTTTAGTACATCGATATTTTTACACTAAGAGGAAATGAAGTTTGGTTAAGCCACATAAAAGTGAAACCTAGGCTTAAACCCTGCGCAAGAAAGGCATCTCTAAAAAAGTTATGATGAAAAGGCTTTTCTCTAACATGAAATGACAATGAAGGCCATAATTTTTTGGATCCAGTCGAAATCCGTGTAATAATTCAGTAGCCAGCAATCGAAAATCCTTCCGAGTATTCAGTAGCTTTCTATAGATTGAGCGATTTTAGGGATTGAGTTTACTTTCTGCTGAACTCCTTTTTTAGTTAATACAAGAGGATCAGATAAAAGTATCAAACTATTCTTCTTACGGGATAACATTTGGGCCTTGGACCATCCTCGCCTACAAGACATGACGATAATAATGCAACACATGTTTTTAAATTTTAACGGAGGTCAAAGTTTACATCTAGTCTGTATACGTCTGTTTAGTTGCTTAGAAGACTTCAAAATATGAGAAATGCTAAGCACGTCATTTTAGCTTCTCACACACTTACTTGATATTGGTTGTTCCTTTTGATTTATTCAACCTGACGGTCAAAAGTAAAGGACGTGTAAGAAGCGAATTGAGGTGTGCGAGAATAATCTTCCTAAAATAAAAGACTCGCGCATTATTTAATGGTCCAAGAAATTGGTAAGATATGGAGTAACACTGGTCATTAACCATGAAGCAACAATTAGAAACTCTAAATATTCAATCTCACATCACTTCTCAATAACCAAAATATCGTATTTAGTTCTGTATTAAGGCCTTTTGAAACAACAATTAGGCCATCTCTTGCTGCTTTCAGTATGCGTCGTTTACATCTGTACAACAAATAAAAGCGTGTTAACACATTTGGCCGCGATATAGGCTCGTGTATTTGCTTTCTAATCGTTTCATCCGACTGTTTTGACAAGAAAACCGAAACAAATGATGGGATAACAAATCTACCAAATATTTTCCCAAAAAGAGAAGCAAACTACTGAGATTTTGTTCTAGAAATGAAGTCCCCGACGGTCAAGAATACATGATCCCCCAACACCAGTTCCACAGCAGGAGTGTTCTCAATGCAATCAACATTTATCTGCACAAAGGCACGCAAGGCATTATGAGTACCATCTATTTAAATGCTTTTTTCTCGAGACGAAAACATATCAACCGAATAAAAGGTAAAACAAACCTTTCCCTTTCCTTGTTGAAACTCGGACTTCAAATTTGCATGATCCCTTGATAACAAGTACGTTTGCAGAGCCCGTGCAAATTCTGTGTTTCCTGCAACCATTAACGAATATTTGGACCAGAGGATCAAAATAAGTAAAAATGGTTCGAGGCACAAAATCAAGAGTGTAGTGGATTTTGAATTTGACGGACTTATAATACTCCTAGTTGCATACCACACTAATTTTTGGCGAAGAGAGTACCGACCTGAATATAGAGAAAGAATTGCATCTGAGTCAAGCACTGGCACAGGTCGGGTCAAACTGATAACAAATGACATGCCAGATATCCCATGGAAACTCTCCTCCGCAACAACGACCTGCAATTTGTAAAGCATACAACAAAAAGAAAATATCAAGATTCAAGTGGCTATTTAACATCCATACCAAAAATAAATAAATAATGCAGCTAAACAAAATAAAGCAGTCTCTAGTGAGTGCAACTTACAGCATCTGATGGCATCACACTAGACAGAAGCAATGGCAAACCAATGGTATCCCTAATGTATTGTTCCTGCACACAAAACACTCACCCAATCAGCTTGGAAAAGAGATTAATCTACTACCCAAAATAGTTGTACAGGATGAGTGGAAAAAGTTCATAAAGCATAGATGTTTAAGCAACAATGCTAAATCAATCATAGCTCCATCAAAATTTCGAATCCAAAAAGTTGTTACTCACATCAAACCGAATGTCACTGACAAATGGGAGTGCATAACCCTTATGTACAAAAATAATACCTGAGAGTGCAAAACCCGTTGTGAGACTGATTTATCTTGATCCAACGATTCAAAGTATGCCTCCATCATGTCAGTAGGTTCAAGGGCAGCTTTCTTCCGTAACTTCTGAATTCTGTTTACAATCTGATACGGGTTTGAGAAAATTTCAGTAGAAATGTTATCAGTTCCCATATTAATAACTAGCAGACCAAAATAAATGTAGTAAGGCGTTCGACAATAGGCCGGAAAAAGTGTGTGATACCAATATATTGAGCTCATATAGGAATCACTCTTACAGTGGGGCGGAAAATTTGAGTGTGACACATATATATTAAACTCATGAATGTGATACTTATAAACTAGTAGGTTCTAAAGTATGATTCTAACAATTTTGAACTCACACTAGTGTAGCACTAGTGTAAAGGTATCAAACTCAGTATGTATGATTCCTATATAAAGGTATCACATTCACTCAACCACTGTGAAAGGCCTAACAATTTTTTATTGCCCACTACATCACAATTGAACATAAGGAAAAAAAATGTAAATATGTAAATATGTTCGGTAATAAAAATAGTTGCTGCTATTCCCAACCTATGTCCTATCTTCCCACCCACCTTTTAACAAAAATATGAAGTACAAGTATATCCTTTCAATTTTGGCAACCAGCGAAAAGACTCACTTTCCACCGTCATTGAGAGTCGCCAAAATTTGGCAACAGGGTGCAAGGATAGCCCTTTCAACCTTTTTTTGACTGAAGATATCCCACTTTTACCATATTTAGAACAAAGAGCCAAAACAATGTTGCACCAAAATAATTAGAACTGTTCACCCAGCATAAACCCAACAAAAGTAGGAAAATTACCTCACGAGCAATACCGGCCTCAAACAATGACTCATCTGGACGTAAATCCAAAATCACCAAAACATCACCTGAGATGTGGAACAGAGGAACATGTAAGACCCAAAAACAAGTCAGAAAACGTATTACAAGATGATCTAAAAATTCCCACCGTCCCCTGTAGCATCAATCTCCTTTTCTGTCGTTCCATTAGGACGTTTGAAATCCCTAACAACCTGGACATAAAAGGAATGAAAATAAAACGGAGTTATGCTGTCAGTGGAGTTCCTGGTGGCTGTTTAGACCAGCATCCCACATAAACAAATGTTTTCCACAAGAAAGACAAATCTTTTTGTTGATAGAAAGAGGCTACCTAAAATTGATAATACCTTAAATGCCTTCAACCAGGATAAATCAAATATAAAATATAAGTCAAAGGGAGGGTGGGATAGCATGGCAAAGAAGTTGAGGGGAAACCATAGATGAAGGGTATTATATTAGTATTAAAAGATGAGCACCTTAATATCACCCAGCTTTAAACAATGACCAGAAAGAGTAACTTCTCCAGCTTTCTCAAATGCTAAAATGCTTTCTTGAGACATGGCCTTGACTTCTTTGGCAACAACTCCCATAGATTTTCCAAGTCGCTTACCTAATACGCTGTAAGAAATAAGATGAACAAAACCATTAAATATAAATACATGGTACAACATTCAGCTTTCTTTAGCCCCTATCCCCAAAATAAATTTAACAAAAAAAAATCAAATTGTTCCTCATGTTCTCATACCTAAAATCAGGCTCTGCTCGTAACGAAGCATACTTCAGTGTATCATTACATGGGACAAGAGATCTTACATTAAGTTCCTCCAATACATACTGAGATCAAAAGGAAAACAATTAATGTGTTAGTTGCTGAAGAATAATGCGCAAGACCCAGAAAAAAGGAGTCCATCTGCATGGGGTTTGAACCAAGCCACTACTAAAGATCATAGTTAGTAGCTAATGAAACTTAATGAAATATCCTAAGCTTTCATTTCTATCCCTTACCAGAATTGTTTACAATTATACTTTGCGTGGGTAACTACAAGAGCAATGTAGAACATACAGTTATTAGGTGATCCGTTATCACAAAAGCAATTGGTAAAAATAATATTACTTTTGCCAGAACAAGAGATTTGTGAGAGCCGGATTAACTGAAAGACATATGTACGTAAATTGTGAAGAGCATGTAAGGAAGAAGGGTTAAAGCATGTAAAATCCAGCTGCAAGTCAATTTTGATTTTATCAAATAAAAGAATAAAGAGAGCTAAAATCCCAAAGTATTACAGCCCAGACCCTTTTGGTAGAGGACATTTACTGGTCTGCCGCACGCTTGGGCGAAGCAAAAATTTCATCTGTGAACTATGTTGGATTCTTAGGAGCTGCTTCACGGTACATCAACCACAGATTTTACTTTTATAAATTCACTTTTCTTTTTCTTCATAAAAGCCTTGTATTTTTTGCTTCAAATGATTGCCGAAAACACAACCATGATGTATTGGAAGTAACAATAAACAGACATTGAAAAATTAATAAATGGAGCCTTTTATAAATTCACTTTTCCGTTTCGACTCAAAGGTTACTAGGCTACCATGTTTGACCGGAAAGAGAGTTGTATAAACAATAGTGCATTAGTTGGTACCATGAATAGATTAACTGACCACAAATGTCCACAAATATTAAAAATTATCACGTACCTCTCTTAGCTTTCCACCAATATCATCAAGAAAGTCTGCATCAGGATGAACAATAACCATCTCCCTGTATTTGTTTAAAAAAGAGGCAAGTTTTTTCAGATCAACATAAAAAGGTAGGCAACTGGAACAAAAAATTGGAAACAGACTGGAAGCTATAAACACACCTCAGGGGTGTTTTGAGAGGCTTGTTGTGACGCTCACGAATATTACGGGCAAGATCAATTGTTGTCATCATTCTTGTAACACTTTGCTCTATACGCTCGTCTGTCTGTAATGGGAATACATTTTAGTGAAACATGCAAAAGTTTATAGGAGAATATGCAAATCTAAAATTACAAGGTTTCAGGATCTGCAAGAAGTTCCACAAAAGTCAATATCAGATGGAACTTTAATTCCTTCATGGAGAAATATTCTCCATCTGGCATAATGTTAGTTTTCACTTTTCATGAAATGAAAAAATTTCCAATTTTTTTTTAATAAATGATGAATTAAAGTAAGAAATCTCCTTGACCGGAAAATAGAGAGTAAGAAATCTCACCATCATTTTATTCAATTAATCTATAACATAAATAAGTTAAATTAAGTACACTGAAATATGTCAACCAAACAAGTCTATGAAGAAACAACTGCCCAAATTTCCACACTAGGAATATTAACTAAACAGATAAACTGCTCAAATAACCACAAAAGATTTGATTAGCCATTGATTGATATGATCATAATAAAGAACTGAATGCCAATACCTTTCCTTCTCCTTCAGGAAAACTGCAAAAATGAATGCTTTCCTCTGACTCATTCAAAGCTTTCCGCATATTTTGATAAAGGACCTCCGTGAAGAATGGTGTTAATGGTGCCATTACTTTACATGACACCAAGAGGACCTGCAGACACATAACAAATGATGCACATACATTAACCAAATTTCAAGAACTGAATAGTTACAAAATAACCACTCATGAAAAACCCAGCTATTCGTCAAACAATGGCAACATAAAGAGAGTAACCACAATAGCTTAAAAAGTTACCACCACCCTACATTGTAGAGAGTTGAAAGTGCCATTCTGCAATCCTCTTCACCAGTTCGACCCTTTAGCCTCTTCCGATTGAACCGCACATAAATATTTGTTAAGTTGTCAAGAAACTTCAAAAGATATGGAACCACCTAAAAAGTTTATTCGTTTGTCAGTATGGAACTACGGATTGAATATATAATTCTATGGAATAAATTGATGCGTAGGTCAAATTTCAAGAAACAATTTTTTTTTATCCATATAATCAATAGAATCAGCTCCCATTGTACAGTGATGGACCGGTACGAATATAGGTTTATGAACCCCATCTCCCACAAGGTGAAGGAAGGAGTTTTTGGTGTTGCCAGTCAAGAAAATCACATTTCACTAGCCAGATGCTAAGACCATAAATCTATCTCATTAATTGAACTTCTGTTGATTAGATGTAAGTACTTAATGCTTGATTGATAACTACCGTATAAAGTCGATAACCATTCATCTCTTGCTGAACAAAATAAACAAGACTCTGTGTGGCTGAATTGATCCACTGGTCAAGCACATTAGACGACTTCTGTACAGTGGCTAGATCAACAGGGAGGAAAGGGGAAAACCCTTCAACTTCAAGTCTCTTTGCATTCTGAACAAGGAACCGATATGCATTGTACCAAGGAAGAAATACATCCTTGACCTGAAAAAAATAAAAAAACAACAAAAAATAAAAGGCACTTCTTTTAGAAATTCCAGTGAATCAAAACCAGTAATAAATTCTAGCCCATATAAATGAAGAAAAATACTCGAAACAAACAGAAGTCGAATGTGAAAACTAAGTCAGAATGGTAGATAAATGATGCAGTAAAAACTATTGTAAGGAGTTAGCAAGTATCAAGTGGATTATTAATGCTATATGGGTAGTTTGGGTAATTATTGATGTACTGTGAAAGGGGCCTGACCAAATTTCAAGGGGTATTTCAATTTGGACGAATTTTATGGTAGTATCAGTTTTCTCCCAAGGCTTTCCTTGATTTCCCTTTAGATATCTTTCCATTTAGATATCTAGGTTCAAACAGTGATTGGATTACTTCTATTTAAATCAATAAACTAATACTTACAACACCAAAAACTCCTTCCTTCTTGAAACGTAACGGCTCCGCACGCACAACAGGAGAGTTAATGAGGTATAGTCTTAGTGCATCCTGCACAACAGAAACAGGGAATAGACCAATCATTGGGAAGATTTAACATCTAGAGGCATCCAAAATACAAACAAATAAACATGGACTAAAAAAGAACTTCGTAATACATAATGAAATGAAAAGGGTTCTGCAATAAACGTACGGCCCCATAGTCATCGATAACTTCCATTGGTGAAGGATAATTTTTCAAACTTTTACTCATTTTTTTCCCATCCTCAGCAAGGACAAGTCCATTGCAAATGAGGTTCCTAAAAGCAGGTTTCCCAAATAACGCCGTAGATAACACCATAAGAGTGTAGAACCTGCAGGATGGGAAGGAAAACAATAAAAATTTGGAACCAGGCTGGGCTAAATTTTGGAAACACTTGTGAGTTAGGAACCTAGGATAAACAAGCAAAAATGATTATCTCCAAAAGGCAGCCAACATTTATTTCTTCCAATCAATATTTTTTTAATAAAGAGGTGATTATACTAAGATATTTGATTAACAAAAGTAAAACGTAAGACTGGAATATATATGTTATTTAAGTGCTCAAATGAATTTAAGATTGTTTTGATTTAAACAAATTTTTGTTTTCTATAAATAGGAAAGAAAAATTATCCAAAATTTTGTGAACAAGAAATCTTCTCCCACCTCTCAGCCCAAACATACCATACTTTAGTCCCTTGCATTTAAGAGTTGCTTAAACACCAACACTATGTTTGGAAGAGGGAAATAAACATGGAATTTTGGTAAAAGTCAGAATTTATAGATTGACAGGCACCAATTCTCTTGTTTGGATTCATAAACATAGAAATTTAGAATTTCCACGTAGAAAAAAAAACTTAGAATTTGGGACCTCCAAATCCCAAGTTCAAATTCCATGTAAATAGATGTCATTTCTCAATTTCTATAATTGAGAGTTTAAAAATAACAAATTCCTTATTCAATTCCATTGTTCTTTTAGGTTAACCAAACAAGAAAATTTACAAATTCTAGAAAATAAAATCTCGTCATTTCAATTTCCGTCATTTTTAAATTCCTTAGTAATCTTAAATTTCTTCATCCATACATAGTGTAATATTTGTTGTTTTTCATCCAATGCCGTTAAGGATTTTATGCATGCAACAGCAATCTAAAAGGTGTATCAGCCTGATATACGTATATCATTACCTAATAGCTTAAGCTTTTCAAGTCGTAAGGTTGTCTAACAAGGCAGATGAACATATAACTTCAATATCATATCACATATTTATCTAACTAGGGGAAGAAACTCAAATCTGGTAAATGGACAATGCAAAAATTTACCATCCACGAGTCTGATCTAGCCCCTCAGCCACAAAATGGCCAGGGAAATTTTCCTCAAAATGTTCAACATTCTCAAAAGGATAGTGGATATAAGCATAAGGCATGGACCCACTCTCAAACCAACAATCAAACACCTGAAAGGAAAATTAAATGATCAACGTCAAAACGAGAGCATTATCAAAAAGCATAACTAGAATGCAGCACAAGGTCATTGATTACATAATGGTGAATAAAATGGCAACACTTGAGTATGATTTTTATCCTTTCAAAGTAAACAAGTATTTGAGAGCAGTTACAAAATAATGTAGAAGTCCATGAAACAAGTACAGCAACAACCTTCAAAAGTTCAAAAACCAATGAAAGCAACAAATTTCGACAATGTTTAATTACAAATGAAACTGTATGAGCCACAACAATTAAAGTGTTTAATGCAAAACTAACTATGATTTAAGTACAAAAAAGGGAACTATAATGTGTAACAATGATTCAGTAACCTTACATCATCTATACGTCGAAGAACACCATATTCGGGACCTCGGCTTGAGGGAATAGTAATGTGATCAATATTGTGGCGGTGCAGATCGAAAACCTATTTTAATCAGCATAAGAGAATATTACATTAGATATGTTAATTCGAGAAAATGCAAAATGAACAAAAAAAAAGTCACCTATTACTTGTTAATTCATGAAATTAACAATTAATAAAGCATAGAACTTAGGAAACAAGAAGTCCAGGAATATTCACGAATAATTGCATACACGTGGAGACAGAGAGGAATCAAACCTTAACACCAGAAAGCTCTTCAAGCTTCTGAATAGAATCCATTACAACAATTTCTTCACCATCCTCACTAATCCAGACTGGAAGTGGAGTGCCCCAAAATCTACTTCGACTAACAGCCCAATCTCTTGCATTCTCCAGCCAATTGTGAAAGCGCTTTTCCTGAAATATGGCAATAGAACAGATGGGGACTTATTGCCATCACATTTCAGAATTTTATGAAACTCTCTCATATGAGGACGTATTGCCTATTTCTTACAAAATAGAACATGACACCAAAACACAGTTTATCATCTAGCATAGCAATCCAAATAGCCATTGGCAGAAATTTCCATATTAGAAGGTTCACGGAATCCAAGTTTTGCAGCAAGTATCACCAGTTTTCAACAGTTTAAACATACGAAATGTCACATGTCATCGATAGTTTGTGGCAATAATTAAAAACGGCTATATTATTTTATTTGACAAAGTAAGCCCCCTATAACACAGGATTAAAATAAATAAATAGAAATGGTAAATAGGGAAGACAAGATACAATATTCAAGAACCTCCAGAGACTCAATTACATCATCAGACTATAGTTAACCTACTTTATCACCCTAAACTGTTGCTACTTATCATCTTTTACCACACTATCCACCCAAAGAGTATGTCATTTACCAAACTCAGCCTAAAAAATAAAAAACACACATCAATAAAAAAAAATAAAAAAAGCAAGGAAGAAAAGCATCTATATTCACAAAAAATTCAACCTTGACAAAATCAGGAACCCAGTAAGTCTGCTTGTTGTTTTCTAACAATTTTTCTTTCAACAGCTCCACTCGGATAAACCTGTAATCAAATGGTAAAACTTATTTGAGATGAGACTACAAGTAGACATGAGAAGAAAGAAAATAGAAGGGAAATATCATTTTCGGTACCCTATACTAAATCAATGGAACCCAATAAAGTTCAAGTACTAAGAACATGCAATAAAATTGATCAAACAGAATCTAACTAGAAATCAGTGGACTAATGTAACTCAGTGCAGAAAGACTTAATAATCAAAATAACAGAATATAAAGTTGGACTAAATAATAGCTAGTTTAAACTGCAGTTACCAGCTTGGAACAGCTCTGTAAATAAGCGGAGTTTTAGATCTCCAGCAAAAGGGATAAGAATGAGTAACCGTTCCAGACTTCACTAGCCTTCCTTTTGCCTGAGTAAATATGAAGAGTTACATCAGAGCAACGGATACAAACAAATAGAAGCGTATAATAAGTACAGAAACATCCCAATCCCAAACAGAACTTTGATTTCTATTCTTAACTCACTTTTATCCCAAAGATATTTTCAACTAAAGATGACAACAAGATAACAAGAATAAATAGCATCATAACACGTCCCTACCTATTCTTTGATGTCAAAACATAAGCTTAGAGCATGGAGCTAAAATTGAACACATCTGTGTAAGTTAGAAGATATATTTTAAAAAAAAAACTGGGGATTGTGCAAGTAAACCACCCTACAGATGTGCGTCCGTGTATGTATACAAACTCTCATATACCTTCACTGCTTCAATAATATCTTTATCTGCATCCTTGACATAGCACTTGCTGAAGTCGGTAATTCTTTCGGTAAAGCATCCATCATCATCAACAGCTACAATCAAGTTCTCTCCCTACATTCCAAGAAAACAAAGGCAATGTGGGCAAAGAAGTAAATAAGGGCCTGAAAATAATCCCATCGCAGGATTAGAATTCCAATCTCTGGAAAACACAACTTTTCCATTCATCAACTCTTCATCCATACAACTACTGGAATTATAAGGGATACTTATGTTTCACAATGCCTTAAACCTAAAGAACACAGTAAAGTAAACCTATTGCAGGAAAGAAATCCTAATCCAAAATGGAATAGGAAACTAAAACCAATCCCAATAAATCTGGAAAGAATCTAAAACTTTATAAAGTAGGAAATCAAACGACTAAAACCCTAAATATTAAAAATACTAAAACCCTAGAGAACTAAAGACTGAAACACCCATTGATTTAGGAAATCCTTCAATTTGGTTCCTCATTAGTTATCTTGATTAATGAATCAGAAAACCTCAACCCATGAAAATATACTATTTACATGCATCTGAGTGCATACCTTGTTGATTACTTGATTTTCAAGGCAAACACGATAATCATCTTCACCAAATGCAGGAGCACAATGCACAATACCAGTACCACTGTCATTGGTAACATAGTTGTCCACAACAACTCTAAATGCCACATCAGAGAACTCCGTAAAGTAGTCAAACAGCGGTTCATACCTGCAGTTTCCAGTCTCTTTTTAATTGTGGTATGAGTCAAAAAACACGTGAATTATAAAAACAATGTAGACAAAAGAAACCACCTAAAACCAAACTCCAAATTGAGGATAACAACAGAAAATGAGGAACAAGTACTCACTTCTTTCCCTCTAACGAAGAACCAGAGAATTTCTCCAATACTTCATATGAACTGTCCACGGTTTCCTTTTTCCCACCTGAGGATCCTTTGGCCTTTGAATTTAGCTTTTTTGAATCACCAACAGATCCATGTGCTACATTTTCCTTTGGTTTCTCATTAGGAAGAGCTGACAACCGAGATTCAGCAACAACATAAACTTTTCCAGAGTACTTGTTGCGGACCTGATTTGTTTTCCACCTCAAATTAGATTCTACAGTAATATAGCATAATAAAACCCATTGAATAAAGTTGAACAAAAATTCTTGGCATCAGAATATGGTCTGATATCACAAAAAAATAAAGAATAAATAAATACACTCATTAGTTTTAAACACAATAGAGATGAAAACTAGTATTACAGGGCAATCAAATTTATGTGACAAAGAAACTGAAAAAGAGATGAAAACAAAAATAGCAGGCATTTACTTTTGTTACTTTTGCTATTAGTAACTGACCTTCACATAAGTAAAATTTGCATTGACACAAAGGGCCAAATTGCTCGGGAGGGTCCATGGTGTAGTTGTCCAAGCTACAAAATTTGCCTTTTGCGGATCTCCAACAATTGGAAAAGTCACCATAATTTCAGGATCAGGTACATCCTGTGTTTCTCTAGAGATGTCAAATATGATAGAGATTCTTAAACATCAAGCTACAAGTAGTTGAATTCAGGACAGAACAAGAACACAGACAAATTCCAAGTTTCACCAATAGAAAGTATGTCCCCCTTTTAACACAGACAAATTCCAAGTTTCAACAATAGAAAGTATGCCCCCCTTTTCCTTTCATTTATATTATGCTGGAACGTTGAATTCATAGATACCGGTTCTTATATTGAAAAGATACTAATTTCAAGTTTCAACACATTAAGCAAAAGATTCAATAACAATACGAACAACAGTTGAAATAATTTAGCAATCTTTATCTTTATATATAATATCAATAGAAGTATCACTAACCCTGTACTCTTGACCAGCCTCAAAATTGGAAAGCGGTGTCTTGCAACCAGTGCTGTATGGCATGACCTATAAAAAAAAGGAAAACAAAATCTGTCAGTGGATATACAACGCATCCCTTTCTTTTGCCAAATACGTCAAACAAAATGTGTCCTCCCTCCCTGCTTAAGTTGGACACTATCTCTCCTCCCCTCGCCCTCCCTCCATTTCTCTCATGTTTCCAAATTGTAAGTTTCAATAACCGACATTGAGCTTATACCCTAACTAGAAATCATTATCTAGTTAAACAGCAACAACATACTTTAATCGAAAAACCGATATCATTTCCAATTAAGCCCCATTTCCAATTATGCAAAAACCAGTTTTATTCAGAAAATCTCACTAACCAGTTGAGCAAAACGGAAAGAAAACACAATGCAATCAACCAACCTTGAAGCCTTTATAAACAAGACCCTTCTCAAATAACTGGCCAAAGACCCACCAAACGCTCTCCATGAACTTCAAATCCATCGTCTTGTAATCGTTATTGAAATCAATCCACCGCCCCGTCCGCGAAATAACCTTCTCCCACTCCCCCACGTACCGAGTAACAATGCTCCTGCAGGCTTCATTGTACTTATCAATCCCCATCTTCAGCACATCGTCCCGACGCTTGATCCCGAGCATCCGATCGATCTCGTTCTCCACCGGCAGACCGTGGCAGTCCCAGCCGAAGCGGCGGATGACGTGGTGGCCCGTCATGGAGAAGAATCGGGTGATGACGTCTTTGATGGTGCCGGCCAGTATGTGGCCGTAGTGTGGGAGTCCGGTGGCGAATGGAGGACCGTCATAGAAGACGTACTCGGGCTGGCCCTCTGTGCGCGCCAATTGGGTTTCGAAGGCCTTGATTTCAGACCAGAGCTTGAGGATAGTCTCCTCTTGCTTGGGGAAGGAGAAGTCCTTGCCCTCGCACACCTCCTCCATGGCAGAGTTGAAGCTGAGGGCGGAGAGGGAGATGATTTAGGGTTTTGAGAGCGGCGATGGTGGTGAAAAACTAGAGTGAGGGTTTTACAGGGGGATCCGGATTGTCTCCTCTCTTATCTATCTCAGCCGTTCATTCCATGCCAAGCTGATTTAAAGCTCCAGATTGTGACACGTCGCCGGAAGTACTCCTCACGCTCTCTTTAAAGCCGAATCGACTGCGTAAGAAAACTCTGCCTTTTACAATATGGAGAATCTCTTGATTCAAGAATAAAAAGTAGCGTTGATAATAAAACGATTGTCTGATTCCAATAAACTATTTCAAAGGTTATGAAAAGGTTAAGACAATCTTTTAAAAGAGATGTCAAAATTGTCATATAAATATATAACAGCAAAAAATATACAATTTATTTCAACCGTGATGTCAAAGATGACACGGAAAAGAAGGCTAAGTTAACATGGACAAAAAAATTTTCAAATTTGAAGCTGCCTTCAAAATTAATTTTTGCTATTTCCAGAGATATACCACTTGCATTTCCTTAAATTTTAGCATATTTAAGTATTATTTTATTATTTTTAAACAACAAAAACCCAACTTTTATCATTTTTGTTTAAAAAAAACAATAATGAAGCAATAAATTTTGGCATATCCAGTGGAAGGAAAATATTGATAATATTTCAAATTGTCAAGTCAGTCATCAAATTAAAATTTAATGTTTTGAATTTGACGTCAACTTTTGGAGATGCTCTAAGAACTCACTTAATAAAATAACCAACTACCAAATTGAAATAATCATATTTTTTATAGCATTTAACCTAGGAAATAAAATTAGTGTGGCTCGATCTGTCTTCCCTTAGAACATATGGAACTTTTTCATATGCTATGGAAATCCTTCTTCTCATGACAGCAATTTTTTTTTGCTTTTCCAAAACCGTTTTGAATCAGGAGACATATGATCGAGGCGTCGAGGCATGGTATCACGATCCTTTTCCTCTTGCCTTTCTTGCTTATTTAACTCTCTTTTTTTTTCTCGCATTTGCTTCGTATCTATTCTTGTCTTGCCCACCCATGCAGAAGTTGTTGGCTGCCATCATTTTCTGCACGTGTGTTACACATTCCTGACAGAAAAATAAAATAAAATTGTAGCTAACGTTAACTTGCCTGTAGGCGCAAGGCCGGGCTTCTTTTACTTGGGCATTTGGAAGAGAAATTTTTTATTGTGACGGGAACACAGATGGTACATCACATGTTTGAATGTAAGTGGTGGAAAATTATATTTTTTAAGTTATTAACTTTTTAACACACATATCCCACTATTTGTGTAGTAACACATACTAGACCACATAGTTTGCCGGTCACACTAAAAAATATCTTCATTTCAACATGCTTTGAATGGCAACCACTAGGGGTGGGCACTTGAAATCGAAAACCGAAACCGAAATATGAATTGAATCGAACCGCACCGAATGATTTGGTTTTGCGGTTTCAAAACCGAACCGCGTCAAAGAAAACAGTTTGGTTTTGGTTTTGGGTTTTCAAAACCGCATCGAAACCGAAACCGAAATCGAAACTGAAACCGCACCATATATTGCTCATATCCACACCGTTTGCGAAATTGCTCATATATCAACTTATACTGCATACAAATCATATTTTGGTTTATATAAGATTATAAGTTAACTGTCTGCCTATTATATACTCCGTTTTTTTCCTTACATTTGTTAAATTGTTAACTGGACTGTAGAGTTTGCCTGAGTTCACCCAAAATTATTCAAGCTGAGAATTTAGTGTCCTAGCATTATGGTTTATACTACATTTACTAGCACCTAAATAAGTTCATTTTGGTTTGAGAGCTGTCTTCTGTTGACTTGCAAACATTTGTCTCATCGTACTTGTTTGAGAGGTAGCTCCAGTTGTAGAGCCACTAATCCCTATGTATATTTTTCACTTTCTTAGCCTAACTTACCATAACTTAAACTCCCAAAACATGCACATTGATGCATTGGATGTTGTTTCAATTTTAGTAGTTGTTTTCAATTTTAGTAGTTGTCATTTGCTGCAATTTTGGACCTTTGGTATAGGTTTGGTACATGTTAGTTGCTGTTTTTTGCTACAGTTTTGGTGTATATTTTAAATTGTACATTTTTTTCTCAAAAACCAAACCGAAACCGTTTGAAACCGCATCGAATAGAACCAAACAATTTGGTTTCATTTCGGTTTTGGCTTCAAAATCGTACCGAACCGCACCGCAAAAAGTTTCGATTTCGATTGTGGTTTCACTCGAAACTGCATCGAACCACACCGCGTCCACCCCTAACGACCACTTGCCCTTGCCAAATTAGACAAATGAAAGTGGTTTAGGGTTGGAGGGCATCTTTTGGGAAAGAGATCATCTCCGGATCTCTTCCTTTTAATCCACTAAGTTCAGGGATCCGGACCGTTGAAATTTGATCCAACGGCTACAAACAGGGACCCGCTTTAAAAGTTATAATAACTTTAACCATTGGATCAATTTTCAACGGTCCGGATCCCTAAACTTGGTGAATTAGAAGGAAGAGATTCGAAGAGGATCCCTTTTCCATCTTTTTTTTTTTTAAAGTAAACTGGGAATTCTATTCCAGGGGTAAATATGCCAGAACATACAAATAGAGCCTACATTGAGGCAAGCACAAAGTTAGACAAGCAATAACTAAAAGAGTGCAGGGGGTACAACAGAGAGAACGTTGCAACCATGTGAAGGCGTCGACTCCTACTCTGCTGAAACAAAATTAATGAGGACAAGACAAAACATGCACCAACGAAGATGGGGTCGATCGACCCAAATAACATTGCACATTGCCGGATTACTTACCAACACTAGAGAATCCGTCGTCATATTGGCTAATCTTAATACCCAAAACCAGCGACAATTATGGAAAGACTCCCCTAATTCCTTAACTTTTGCCAAGATAGGAAAAGCCTCCAAACTGCCATTTTCTATCAAATCTGATAAGCACAAGATGAATTCAAGGGAATCAGATTCGAAGATTACCGAACTATATTCGAAGATTATCGATATGACCCAAGGAAGCACCCATCTTACACCCACGAAGCAGCGCTAATGCTTCAACTGTTGCGACATTCGAAGCCGAAATGGAGTACCTCGCCACAACAATAAAATGTGGAATGCTTGCTAGGTGGTTAATATGTCTGATAACTTGTGATTGGGATATCAATAAAGTAGCAATAATTAATGGTGGTTAATTATTAGTTATAATTCATGGTTAACATAATCTGTTCCGAGTCCTGACTCTTTAGTAATTAATGGAACATTATTGCTGTCGGAAAACATTGGGATACTCTAAACAATTTGATTCAAAATTGTCTTGTAGGAACTTTTATTTGTTGGGGTTTTCAGGCGGGGAAGTTTAAAATAGAACTGGCTGCACAATTTTGCAGCCCTCCATTCATTTTTCAAATGAATATGCAATGTTCTTCAACAAGTTCTAGAGAAACACGAAGGTATAGGGAACTCAAAGATGTTCCGACAGACATACCTTGGAAGTTAGTATGGCGAGTCCACGGAAAAATCACATGGTCTGATCAAACCTTCATACTTTCAAGAGGAGATGGAGATTTACGAAAGAAAGCTCCAGTGGTACATGACTCCACTTAGGACCCTATTGTCCTACAGCTTTTTAAGGAAGTAAACAAGTTGAAGGCCAAACGATAAGCTGAGATACCTGATTGGAACCAACCTAGGTCTTGCCCTCTTACATGGAGGATCCTCGACACCCCACTTCAAGCGAAGATAAAATAAAAGCTTGGTTTACAGCTCTATACTGGAAGGGAGGACCCGATTAAACACCTTCACCTTTTTAAGTCCACCATGGCATATCGGATGCACGCCGATGAAGAGCGATGTCTTCTCTTCCCTTCCACCTTCTCTGGCGGAGCTTTAAACTGGTATTGTCGTCTTCCACCCGAGACAGTAGACTCATTTAAGGAACTAAGGAAACTGTTTGTCTCTCAACACATCTTCTAGAATGATCGCAAATGACTTGCACACTATTCGCCAGAAACCGGACGAGTCATTACTAGAGTATGCTGGTCGCTTCAGCCATGATTATTTTCGTTGCGTTGAGGCAGATGACAAGACCGCCCTCAAAGCCTTCACGGCAGGCCTACGTGATTGTTTCTTCAAGTACATGATCAATGCCAACACTTGGAAGATTTACTCTAAGGTGATAGCACACGCTTACAACCACGCCTCCTCCGAAGCAAGGACATACCAAGGGAACCCCCATATGGTTAACCCCTATCAACAAGTGGGAAATGGAAGTCAAGTTCTACCAAGTGATGAGATCTTGGCCATTCAGACACCCATTGCATCATCTCCTACCTCATTTAGCTATTCGCTAAGTCACCAAACGTATTTATCTCTTGGTAAGAGGAATGATTTTTACTCTCAGCAAGCTCATTACAACAAGAGGGATAAAAGTTCGTATCAAGACAACTAAGGGTGAACGTACCGTCGACTATTATGACTATGGGGCCAAGCCTCACTCTTTCAAAGTAGAGGACTAGGTAATAAAGGAAATGCTATTATAAGAAGGCATACACATTGCAAATGTTTTGACCCTCAACCGCTTAAGATCTTTTATCACACAAGCCATTCGACAAATATTTAAAGAAGAGGGAATTCAGATAACTTTTTCTGAGTCTTTTGTATTCCTAGCACTGGAACACTTGGTATACGCTGACCTACCTCTATACTCCAACTCAGAGCTTCAACATGCGTACTTTGACACAAAGTATGTGATACTAAGTGTTACAACAAACATGATTCACATATCGAAAGCATCGATCCCTTCATGCATAACAAAACATTCATAAGCATCATTCATGTCAATCAACATAAACATCATACATTTCAACACATTCATACATATACATCATACATTCCAACACACTCATACATAAACATCATACATTCCAACACATCTATACATAAGTCAACTGT